AGATACAATGGGAACGACAACGCGGAAAGATGACGAAACATAAGAGAAAGAGAGATGGTAAGCATATGCAATAAATGTATGCAAACCTTTGTTACCGACGCATTTTTGGAAGTGTCGGCGATTGGCGGCGGTGGATGACTAAAAAAATACGGAACACATAGCGGAATATCATTACGCATACCTTATAATCCATCGACCGAAGTCCTATGCTTATGTAAACAGCAATGTAGCCGACTGAGGCCTTCCCCGCGCTGTCTCTCCCCGCGCTTACGAGTACCCCCGCTCTGACGAGTACTCCCCACGCCTCGCACTCTCCTCAGAGGATCCGACTTAGGACTAGTATCCCTACTTCTCATAAAAGATCAGTCCGATTGAAATATCAATCACCAATTTCGAAAGTAAAGATTTCAAACTTTAAAAAGCTTTTTTAAATATCTCGCTACGATGATTTTTCAATAAATTATTGCTATTTGAATATATTAATATAAAAATTTGTGAAAAAAACTCAGTGTCCAGATTTTTTTTTGTATATGATAACATGATATGAAAACATTGACATCTTGACGGCAGTTACTATTTTACGACGATAGAAACAGCTATATTAGGTGTAATAAAAAGAAATCCATTATTTTTCCAATAAATGGCTTTAGTAATCTGTATCTCATCTACGCGTGATACAGATTACTAAAGCCATCTATTGGAAAAATAATGGATTTCTTTTTACTATACCTAATATAATCTTTTTAAGTACAGTTGTTGTCTTAGAGCTGAATAAATATCATATATTTACACACAGATAGAAATGATACTGAATCATTTAAAGATAGTAATAAAATGTTAATACAATTTACACGAGATAAACGCATTCGATCTTTTCATACATGAAATGTATGTTTCCATACTTTGCGCAATGTAAAATCTATTGTTTTCTATCTCATGTTACAACAGTTTATAACTTTTAAACAGGATTCAATCTTATTTCAAATAAATTTATTTAAAATTTTAAATAAAAAAAATTAAACAATTATTTAGTATTTATTATTTAAAATAAGTCCATGTTGATTTTCCTGGTTCACGAAGGGTTAATACTATTAAGTATCAATTATAGGCTGTAGCTATCAAAAAAAAACTGAAACGCTATATTTAAAAATGAAAAATACGATATTAAAAATTATAATATTGTATATATAATAGTATTGTATGTACCATATACATATTTTTAGTTTAGAACGATGTTGATATATTAAAAATACATTGAAAATGACTCGATTGGAGTTAAAACGTTTGTTGTTAATTGTCATTGTTTATATTCGTATATTCAAATAAACAAAATTATTAAAATATTTTTTATTTAAATACCATTTGAAAAGTTCATTCAAAACACATATTTCTTACTTTAAATAAATTTCCGAAATCTACTGTTTATTTAAAATAAGAAATGTCCTTCGAAAACATTTAAAATAAAAGATAAATTATTATTATATTTTAAATAAAAGTATTCCATATTTTAAATAAATAAATGCATTTTCGGTCCCTATTTCTTATTTTATATTTTAAATAATTTCTTGTGGCTTATTCCTTATTTAATATTTTAAATAAGTTTATGGAACCTATTTTTTATTTTTTATTTCAAATAAGTCGTATCAGCGATTTTACTGACTTCTACGATTGTATATTTTAAATAAGTTCCTGGAACTTATTTTATATTTTATATTTTAAATAAGTTGTATCAGTTATTTTACCGAATCCTACTTTTAAAGCATTTCTAATGAAACTTCATACAACATTTTTACCTTTTTTCCATTACACTTATATAACATACTTCCGCAATTAATTGTCTGTTAAATAATATTAAGTTGTTCAGAAAATTCATTTCAAATTTCGTTAAAAATTCGTTAAAATATCGTTTTAAAATTATATACAGAATATATTTATTGCGAAGTTTTCGACTATCTGTCATGAAAGCTCAAAGTTTTCCTTAAAAATTCGTTTTTAAAAAATGTCTTTACGATTTTTTGTTCTGAATTTCTCGCGGATTAAATAAGAAGGAACATTCCGATTTATAATTGCGTTACACAAATCATCGTACCGCAATTAAAGATACAGATTTCCAATGCTAAAACTTTCCTCTATCGAATGATATAATTTGCCAATTTTATTAAAAAAATAGAATATGTATAAATTTGAGTTAAAAATATGACTATATTTTCATTGTAATCATTGCGCAATAGTTATAAAAAGAAAGTAATATGTTTTTAGCTCAAATGCACATATATATTCTTTTTTTTTTTTTTTTAATTTATATCACTCGATAGAGCAACGTTTCAGCTTTAGATCTGGTTTTTTAATTGTGATACGATGATTTTTGTCGGAGTAACGAGCAATCAAAGTCAGATTGCTTCTTTTTATTTAATTCAAAATAAAAAAATTGTAGGAATATAAAAAAAAATAGTTTTGTAGCGAAAACTTCAAATTTTCACGATAAATAATGAAAAATTTTTGCAAATTTATTTAAGGTGACCTACAAAATGAGAAAAAATGTTTTCATTTTTTTCAACTCGTAATTTTGTACATGTCAAAATTACAAAACTCACGTAAACTCAAAAAATATAGTAAATATTTGAAAGTAGAAATTTCAAGATTCAAAATCCTTTTTCTAAATTTAAATTTCATTTATTTTTAACGAAGATGTACGTACAATTTTGGGCTAACAAAATTTGAAACAAACTTTCCGAACAACTTAATATATGCTGAGACACCTTGTATATATACACGCACGCACATCAATATCAAATGTTAATACTCTATCTTTAACAGCTAGCTACAGCAAAAGAAAAATTGCGTAAACGTACATATACATATAGTACATATAATTATGAACTATGTTTAGCTCATATATGTATAAAATATACACACACACACACGCACGCACGCACACATATATATATGTATAAAATACGAAAATTAAAAATGTTAATATTGTCGATGGTTTAGAAAAAATGTGTATAAAAAATAATTTTATTAAGAATCATTATTTTTTTATCTGTGCTCTAATAAAGATGTATGAAAAAAAAAAAATATATATATATATTATAAGATAATTGCAAAAATCTTAACTTTTTTTGTATAAGTATTTAAATATACAAGATGTATTATATAAAGATTCATTGATGCAATAATTATAGAAAAAAAGTAATATTATATTTTTAGCTGAAATGCATATATATTTTATTTTTTTAGAAATTGACATTTATGTCACTCAATAGGGCAATGTTTTAGCTTTAGATGTAGAAATTGCATATTGTTTTGTAAATAAACAAAATATTTCGAATTGAAACTCTTGACATTGTTTAAATTTTTGTGTATAAAAATTTATAATTATAAACATATAATACATGTAATTAACAGCTTGGCTCGTCAGCTTTTTTTTAAATTTATATTATTATTAACAAAATATATTGTTTCCTTATTTTATTGAACACCTAATTTTTGCATCGCAATGAAACTTATAATTGTATTTTAAATACTTAAAATACTTATACAAAAGGTTTAGATTAATTTTGTCATTGTATGTTTTTCAAATTTTAGTATGGTAATAAGAAAATAATGACAAATTAAGTAAATAAATTATAAAAATGTGTTTAATAAAAATAAAGTGCAATTTAATTTATATGTATATAGCTTACTTAAAATATAAATATTAACACATTTGTAAAAATATAATATAACCTTAATATTAATTCTTTTAAGCGAAAACATCATGCGAATGTAAGATTGCAGAGATGAATATTTCTGACGCACAATTTGTAAACGTAGCACAATTATACGAAGGCAAGTCAATAAGTTCTTAGAAAATCTATCAGAGGATACTCGCATGTCATTACTTTTTGATAAATAGCATCTTTCAGCTGATTACTGTCAAATTTTGAGCCGAATTCGTCGCGTGATTTCATTTCTGTAGACGATTAACGCGAACAACCTTTGTATTTTTTGCAAAATGGAAAAAAAACGAGTTTCGTGTAGTGATCATACATATGAAAGGTTTAACGCCGAAATAAATCAAAGCCGAATTGGATAATGTTCATAGCACATCTGCATCAGCGTTTGCGACTGTGTACAATTGGGTGAATTTAAATGTGGTCGTACATTTACATGTGATGTACCTCGAGATGTCCAATTGAGGCTACTACGCCAGAAATCATCGATGTCCATGATATTGTTTTAATTGATCGACGAGTGAAATTTGGATCAAAAACTATCGGCAAGATGGGTGTTGCGTTTGGTCACTGTGGACCATAAGCGCGACCATGTGACGATTTCAAAATAATGTTTGGAGATGTTTCAACGTAATCCAGATGAATTTCTGCGATTCATTACGGTGGACGAAACATGGATCCATTATTTCACACCCGAGACGAAGGAACAGTCAAAATAATGGACTTCACCCAGTGAAGTCGGCCGGAAAGGTGATGGCCACAGTTTTTTGGAATGCACGCGGTATAGTTCATATCGATTATCTTCCGTCGAAGCAAACAATCAATGGCGATTACTACGCCTTATTGAACCGTTTCAACAACATTTTAAAGAAAAAACATCCTCATTTGGCGAAGAAGAAAGTGCTTTTCCATCAAGACAATGCACGGGTTCACACGTGCCCGGCACCGATGGCCAAATTCAATGAATTTCACGTAGCACGATTATATGAACCAAATATCCACTCCAATTATCATCTGGAGTTGTAAAGTGGACGTATTACCATCAGAGCTATGTACTTTACATCCACTTTGTCAGGAGGCAGTAGTGCGCGGCAGCATTTTGCAGTTACAGGTTTTGGACCGGCATTTCCTGTCTCAGGTTTTTCTCTAATATGTATAGATCAAAATTTTCACTTTTCACATTTCCTCTCTAGAAAGAAAGTTGTGATCGATATCCTCATCATTGTTGAGTAAAAAAAATGTCAGGACGTAAGAAGAACAAATTGTTAGAAAGAAGATCTCGATATGTCCTCAGCAAGGAGCAGAAAATCCGACAAAGATAATAAGGCAGGTTAGGCGAGATACATCTTGTGGAATTTAAATTCTGTAATAACCGATTGAATTTACAGAAGTCAATGAACAATCGATTAACTTTCCGGTAGCTATGTGGGACATGGAGCATTGCGATCCCAAGAAATGCTCTGGAAGAAAACTTGCAAGACACGGTTTGATAAGGATCCTACGACTGGGTGCACGATTCCCAGGCTTGTGTCTTACTCCAATGGGTGATAAGGTAACTAGTGAATCAGGAAGTTATTAATTAGGGTAAAGAAAGTATAAAGAAAGCAGGTTTTCTGCTTTCCAATACTGAATGATACAAGTTATCGGCGTTTGAGATTAATACAATATATGCCTGTTAAAGCAGGAAACCTGTTAAAAATACTTCTAAGACTTTCACATGTTTTTTATTCAGAGGTGCCAAAGGATTTGCAGGTACTGTATCGTGATCCATTACTTATGCCAATGTTTTGTACACCTTGCTGTTTATTTTATCAGGGCAAGAAGTGTACTGATATTAATAACGTTTTTCACTGGCAGAACTGATGCACACTCAGTGTACATTCTGAATAAAAAATTTCGTAACTTTTAATTTAAAGAATAGAACTCTAGTATATATCTACATAAAATTTGTCTTATTCGATGCCAAGTATGGTAGTAACTATTTAATCTTTCTTTAAAATGTTATAACAAAATTGCATTAACCTCATCTTTAATTGCATCTTACTCAACCTAAGAGTAATTACAAAGAATTAAGGATATAACGATATAAAATAAAAAAAATTTAATGAAATAAATACTTTATGTAAAAAAAACTTACTAAAGGCGCTAAAAACCAAATTAGGAAAATAGAAAAAGCCATTGTGAATTAAAATAACAATGCATGCAGGCATGCATGCATACATACGACATGTACACCGTCCCTTGATAAACACAGGATGTACATGTGTGAGTAAATTATATTGCACGATTTTCAATTATATAAATTATATAAATTATATAAAAGAAATAGGCATTAGTGTACGTACATATGAGTATATTATATAGTCGTTGAGTACGTATAGTCGTGCGTATCAATATTAGATATATGTCATACTAGATATATGTGTCAATCAGATTAAGACTTAGTTTATTTGGTATTTAAATTTGTTTGCGCGTAATATAGACAAGCTGTACTTGTGTAATCTTTATATGAAACAATAAAATTTGTTTTTATTCAGTCTAACAGTTTTTATTCAGATTAAAGTGCTGATTTTCTTAACTTAGTTGAGCAGCGCCAAGTTTTTTCGCATAAAGTATTTTTTATTTCATTAAAAATTTTTTATTTTATACTGTTACGTCTTTAATTCTTCTCTTGAGTTGAGGTTAACTCTTGGGTTGAGTAAGATAACGCAATTTTGTGATATAACATTTTAAAAAAGGATCAAATAGTTACTACCACACTTAGGCATAGAACAGGAGAAATTTTATATAGGTACATATTTAAGTTCTATTTTTTAAATTAAAAGTTACGAAATCTTGAAATTTTTAAAAAAGAGTTTTATACAGTTAGTGCAACTTAAATGCTTTATATCGTTTTTGAAAGTACATACTTCTTAGAATTATGTTTGGCGTCAGTTATTGATCATTTGGGCCGATTTCCAATGTCAATTATTTAATTGGCCATAGAACTGACTAATTATGTTTGTATTTAGTAGAATTGACCACTTATGGTTGATAGTTAATCACCGATTCGACTTAATCGAGTTGATGAAACCGGCTGTTTGTATATAATACTAAGTATCCAACCTAATTAATAGTAGTTTTAATTTTTCTTTAAGGATATTTTTATTGAAGATCTTTTTATTCCAACCTAATGGCATGAACAATTTTTCTATTTAAATTAAATTTTTTTGTTTTATACGGTTAATTCTTTAATTTTTTGTGATAACACTTAAATTGAGCAAAGTAACGCAATTTTGTAATAATGTTTTGTATAATAATTTGAAGGAGAATTAAATAACCACTACTTTAGTTAGAAGAGAAAATGTCTTTGAATGAATTGTGATATAATAATTTCATTTAAGAAGAATTTAAACCTTTTGGATTGGAAGAAAGATTCTTCAATAAGATATACATATATTTAGGTTTCATTGCATAAAAATTAATGATAGTACTATTTGGATTAAGTAAATAATAATAAAGATATCATTTGGGTTTTACTTTTTATTTTGATAGTAGAATTTAACTTGGCGCCACAATTGTTGATATCAATTCTTTTATACAAATGATACGAGATGTGGCTATTAAATAACGAGACTGATGCTGCTACAGAAGAAATACGCATGCGCCAAACGCTAGCGACCGACAGCTGTTTAGCGTGAAGCCTTCTCTTTCGAATGCAGTACCTCTCGGTTCTGTAAACAAATCCGTATAGCCGTAGCCTTCTTTCGCATTAGAGTTGTTTTTTTGTTTCACCGGAAAAATGATAAGTGTAACAATAGAGTAACGAATTGTTGTGAAATTTCACGTGAAACTTGGAAAAACCGCTACTGAAACTTATAATTTATTGAAAGAAGTGTATGGCCATGAATGTTTATCGCGTGCACATGTTTTTAAGTGGTTTAAGCGTTTCCAAGACGGCCGAGAAGACGTTGAAGATGATTCACGCCCGGGTCGCCCTTCCACGTCAAAAACGGATGACAATATCGAAACAATCGGTAATCTGGTTCGATCCGACCGTCGGTTAAGTATTCGTGCGATTGGTGAAACTGTAGGAATTGACAAAGAATGTATACGACAAATTTTACATAACAATTTTAACATGAAAAAAGTGTGTGCCAAAATGATACCTAAAATTCTCACGTTTGAACAACAAGAAGCTCGCAAAAATCTATGTACTGACACTTTGAATGCCATTGAAAATGACCCAAACTTATTGGAAAGGATAATAACATGTGTCGTGGTTTTTTACTTATGATCCCGAAACGAAGCGCCAATCCATGCACTGGAAGAGCCCAACTTCACCGAGAGCCAAAAAAACTCGAATGAGCAAATCAAAATTCAAAGCAATAATGATTGTTTTTTTCGATATTCATTGTGTACCTTCACTGGGTTCCTGAAGGTCAAACTATTAATCAACATTACTACCTTCACGTTCTTGCTGAACTTCTTGAAAGAATAAGGAAAAAACGACCCGAATTGTGGAAAGACAAGTCATGGGTTCTCCACCAAGACAATGCGCCGACTCATTCCGCATTGTCTGTCAAGAGGTTTCTAGCCAAGTACAGCATCCCAGTGACCATCCGCCTTATTTGCCGGATCTTGCACCGTGCGACTTCTATCTGTTTCCTAAGGTGAAATCTGCATTAAAAGGAACAAGATTTGAGTCCGTTGAAGCTGTGAAAGAGAAAGCGGCACGCGTCCTGAAGGAGCTGACAGAAGAAGACTTTCAGCACTGTTTCAAACAATGGAAGATTCGCATGGAGCGTTGTAGGGATAGAGGAGGGGTGTATATTGAAGGTGATAATAAGTAAATATGTATGAAATCAAAATAAAATGTTTTACAGCATCAGTCTCGTTATTTAATAGCCTCACCTCGTACATATCATTAGATTAATATTCATTATTTATTTAATTTAGCATGGTATAAAGAAATGGGATTTAACTTTACGCTAGTTTTTGATCAAATTTTTTAAAGGAATGGTACATATCATTAAAGTTAATATTATTTATATAATTTGGTATCCGAATTACATGGAATTTAACTTGGCGCCAATTGTTGATATCAAATCTTTTTTACGAATACTATATAAAATTTTGAAGAATTTCACTGCCAATTTTGTTAATATCAAATCTTTTATACGAATAATACATATCATTAGAGTATTGTAAATAACAAGAGATAGTATTATTTGTGTTTTACTTTTTAATTTGATAAAATTTAACTTGATTAGTTTAAATTGTAACATATGGGTTTTAATTTTTCATTGGATACATCCACTTTTTTCGAAATGTAATAATTATTGACAGAGAATTAAAGTTACCATTACTTGGGTTAGAATAAGAAAATCTTCAATATGAATATTTTTGAAGAAAAATTAAAACTATTATTAATTAGATTGGATACTTAGGTTTTACCCGAGAAGCACGTATTGTTAGCGTCTTTATCTTTTTTAAAAAAGGTTTTCTATTAACAAGTAATTTTACAAAAGAAAGAGGGATATTTGAATATGTATGAATACTATATATTATATATGATTAAGTGTTTATAAATATTTATACATATTAATGTATGAAAAATTTTTTACCGGGTGTTGAAACATGCAACGCGAATAAACCTTGTATAAATAAATATATTGTATGTGTATGATATACACACACACACACACAACACACACACACACACACACAAATAAAAATGTATGGAAATTATTATATATAACGTATTATATATAAATTCCGTATTCTTCTCAGGCGCATGTATTATACTTGCGGTTTTATTTCCGTAGAGTTTGTTTCATCGACCTTTTCTATTCTTTCATTCTATAATTCTATTCTTGTTTTTTTACGCAATGATTCCTGGTTAACCTTATTACTGGTCATTGTGTCGTCTACAGGAACGGTAATTGTAATATTTAATATGAATGTAATATTTAAATGGAAATATTACTTTCATCTCTGTATAAAATAGACAGGACAATATAAGCAGAATAACAGGGCCATGCCAATTTAAACATTTAAGAAAATTTTTTTAATTCAATAAAAAATAACGGTTTAAAATTCAACATTAATGTTCTGGCATCAGAGTTCTACAGTTTTAAGAATCTTTGTGATATTATGAATTTTATAATTGCATTTAGTACTCAATTTTTTCAATTAATTTGGACGATCTAACTTTAATCAGCAGTTGTAAAAGGAACATGAAGCGTATATACATCTTTTTTACATTGCATTCACTGTATCAACCTATTGTATATTTGAGAAAAAATTCATAGTTAATAGATCTTATATGATTATTATGTGATTTATGAATTTGACTAACATTAAGTTCCGATGTGAAGTTGTTTGTATCTAGGCCGTTTCTTACTGTAGTTCCTTTTGTCAACATGCAAGTACAACATGCGCTTTTTATATTTTAATTTGTGAACATCTCGCGTAGTTATCGGTAACATTTTTAAATTTATTATTTAATATTGAAAATGACCCGATAGAGATCGAAACGTCTGTACAAAATTTAGATTGTTGATAAAAATAGTTTTACTCATATAATAACTTGAGTGATTTATAACCCTATATTATTTAACAAAATTTGTATCAAATAACAGAACATTAAATTTCTATAATATGTCACTTTGTTTGCAATATGCAAATGCAATAACTAAATATATTTTTCGTATCGTGTTCTACCGTGTTCTACTTTTGAATTGGCATTCTCAAAAATTTGATTAACAATCTCTTTCAATCAATTCACTCTTGTGTGTGCCATAACCACCGATTTCCTAAATCTTATACCTCATGTACTTGAGCAAAAGTTCCAATCGGATAAATCATTTAAGTTTCATTTAAGCTATCATTTAAGCTTTGAACATCAGCTTCATTTCTGTATGAATAAATGACATATTAGAACTGAAATAATTTACATTACGTATACCATTCACATAATTATTAATTTTAACATTTATGTCAATATAAATTAATGCTAGAGAATGATTTGAGGGAACTTATTCTTCAATTTTTTCAAGAAGACATCCTCCCATATAAAGATCTAAGCACAAGAATTATCGTAACACTTACTTAGACTTAAATTATAAAACGTAAGTAACGCACAAGTTTTTACGTATGTTTCTAAGAGATAGCAATAAATCGTACATCATACTCCAAAGTACGCTTGTGCGTTACTAACGTTTACAACTTAAGTCTCTAAGTAAGTGTTACGATAATTCTTGTGCTCAGATCCTAAGGCTGATTTAGATTTATCTTTCTATGTATTAGGAATGCCTTTTCATGCCTTTTCATGCGACGCTGAAATGCTCATTTTCTAGCGTCGAAATATTGAACCTAACTTTGTAATCTATAGAGAGAAGACAATAGATTTCTGCCATGTATCATTATATGTTATTTATTTTGGAATTTAAAGTTCAACATGTTTAATTATTCACATATGAATTAAAATAAAATCTTAATAAAATATACTCATTCGACACGTTTTTATTCAAAACGAAAGAATCTGATAAAAAAACGGCAATTGGCTTTGTGAATAGAGTTATTAAGTGTTAAAGTTGGAGACTTTAGAGGTTAATCATCCCGATTCAATATAGCGCTATGTATACGTTCTGCTTTATACAAATTCATTGCTTTTAAAAATACATTCACTGCTTTAAAAACAAAAATTCACTGCTTTAAACACACAAATTCTTTGCATTAGCAGTGAATTTGCGTTTGTGAAACAGAGAATTTGTTTTTAAAATATATAGTATACAGAAAGGCGAAAATGTAAATCAAAATCAAAATGGGTACACAAAATGAAGATAAAGCAATGTCCTTGTATGTATGTGTGATTTCTGATCCGCAGAAGTTTCATTTCGTATGTCCCATGGAGCGGAACTTGCAGATGCACAATCAATACGAGCCAATGACAAACACTATTCCGAATGAATCTAATGAAAGTGATCTACGAGAAGACTCTTGTGACTGATCAGCGTTAATTGCGCATTCCGGAAATTCCACTCCATAGGAAAACATATTTTAGCGGAACGGAATCAGCTGAATGAAGCCACGATCGATCACAAGTGGTCCGCCAATTCCGCACCATGGGACCGCGTCTCCCATGGGATGCGGAACTGCGGAACGTTCGTGATTGGTCGTGATTTCATTCTGCCGATTCCGCCATTTTCTGTTTTTCTGCACAAATTTATTGGTCACAGCACAGACTCTTGCATAATGCATATAGTATATAAGAGAACCAACTAATCGAAATTCTTCTTTTCTATGAAATGGGAGAAAAAGAAATATTCTTTTTAGTTGATTCGCTTATGCACTATACATCATACGTCATGCAAAAGTCTGTGCTGCGGCCTTATTTCTTTGGCAGATTCCGCCAATGCTTGCGTGTATAGCCGATCACAGAAAGGTTGCAACACTTTTTTTGATGGGTTTCGAACCCATGTTCACCGATTTATTCTTATTTATAGATCCATGAGTAAGAATCACTCGGAGATCAAGCTGCGTTCCGAAACCCATCGGAAAAAGTGTTGCAACCTTTCTGTGACCGGCTGTACACGCAAACATCGGCGGAATCTGCAAAAGAAATAAGGCCGCAGCACAGACTTTTGCATGACGCATAACGCATAGTGCATCAAATAAGTGAATCAACTAATTAGAATCTTTCTTTTCCTCCCATTTCATGGAAAAGAAGAATTTCGATTAGTTGATTTCTTTATCCACTATACGGAAGAAAAAGTGTTGCAACTTTTCTGTGACCAGATGTACATGTACAACATATACTCATAAAAATTAACTTCGTTAAGTTAGTTTAAACGGAGAAAACTATCTCCTACAAGCGCATAGTTAGGTTGATAATTTCAACTTATCAGAAATCGGATATATCAGAATATGATAGGTTGAAATCGTTTATTCTTTATTCCTAATTCCTTATTCCTTCTATTGTGCGCAGGACCTTAATCAACGTGCTCGGATTGCCACCTGGATGTTTTCCGAGTGCTATGTCATCCTTGTTTAACAGTCGATAAATAATAACAATAGTGTGATATCTGGTTAGCACTCGGGTGGAAATCTGAATATAATCTTAAAGGTAATTAATTAAGTCTCCAGATAAATACGGAGATCAATATGATCAGAACGTGAATGTCGCATATATAGTATACAAAAAGGCAAAAATGCAAATCAAAATTAAAATGAGTACACAAAATACAGTTTTGGCACTGTTCCTGTATACATATGTGATTTCCAATCCGCAGGAATTCATTTTCCTATGTCCCATTGAACGGACCTTGCGGATGCAGAATCAATACGAAGCATTATTCCGATAGATTTAGGTCGGTTCATAGTCGATTCTTATTTCAAGACCATCCTAAGTAATGTTTTAAGATGCTAAGACAGCCTTCTGATTGATTCGTGACTTCTTAAGACCGTGCTTAAGATGTGCTTAAATCTTGAATATAAGATCTGATTATAAATACCGGTCCTAAAGCAGGGAAATGAAAATTTTATTGCAGTGTCTGCAGTACATGCTTGCATCGCAATATTTCGTCGCTGCGACCAACTTCTTAACTTGAATAGTCATCGACTTCAATGACTAATCACGGTTCATGAGGCAAAGCGACTTTTTTTGGTCAAACTTTTTCTTATTTTTATGCGAAAACGCATCGATTGGATGTATTGTCATCACTGTTATTAAACCCGATTAAGAGTGTCGTATGTAATCGCAGTTCCTCAGCGTCAATCTCGATATTATTTGGATAACTAGACATTTAATTACGCGAAAATACATCGACTAAAAGTATTTTTATCAATATTTTTTGAGATAACCGGAACCCAATATTATATATAATATAGCTTTAACCACAATCGCACTTATTCAATTCCTTCGCGATCGCGTCATCGTAAAAAACAATAACTTTAACTTATAATCTGCAGAGTGTAGAATGTGCAGAAACGCTTGCAACGTTCGCTGACTATGTGTGATGTGACGGAAGTTATCCCATGCGTTTTACGATATTTTTTAAGCGCGACATGGCGCCTATTTTTCTTAAGATGAAATTGTTGGTCAGCCTGGGACGACAAAGCTTGGATTTTTATTATTGCGTGACTTAAGTGCATTTATAATGTCTTTAGCAATCTTGTCACCTTTTGGGCCTGCGTTAAGGTTGTTATTCTTTCCAGGTTGATTAGCGTTTACAAGTTTTCGTGGAGATTGTCCGGTTCCTCTTTTTCAATTCTGTCAGACCGTTATCAGGCGACTCCACTCAAGTTTCATAGACTCCAACCGTAGTCGCGACGTGGAACTGATTCTTCCGAAAGAAAAGAATCGTGGTATCTACAGGACATAATATTTATATTGATCATAAAAATTTCCCATTTTTATCTGGAAAACCTGAAAAAGTCAGAGAATTTTAAAATTCATTTTCTGTGGCAACTCTGTACTATATTTGACGTCTTATTTTTTCATTTTTTGGAATAGTAATTTTATATTTTAATTTTATTTTACTGACAGTTACAAAATAATCCTTTTTATATAAAATTTTTTTCTGAACGGGATGTATACTTGGCGTATTTTTTTTATTTTTTCTTAGAAGATATATAAACAAATCTGAACTTGCTTGTACTATGTGTAGTCTCTCTGTAAGATAATCCATATATATTATTGATGCCGGCTAGTTTTTAAAAAATAGAAAACCTGCTTTTTCTGTACACGTATCTTAACATGAAATCTGATCTTTGTTGTTGCACTAAAATTTATCTTTTATTTTTTATCAAATTCCAAACATATATTTTATTTTAACTATTGTATTAGCGTATACTCTTCAGTCACAAAAAGACAGATCTACGATTTTATTACAAAATTTGATGCCAATAACCGAATGTTACAGTGCGTGAGTCCGACGGATTGTGATATTGTACAGGAGTATGGCTGCGCAGTCGTGGATTGTAGTTGGGCGCGGTTGGACGACACTCCCTTCAACAGAATGAAGACGTCTCATCCTCGCATATTGCCATTCTTAGTCGCTGCAAATCCAATAAATTATGGAAAGCCTTATCAGCTGAGTTGTGTAGAAGCTATAGCAGCTACTCTAATTATAACAGGATTTCCGAACGAGGCCGAGCTTTATCTCGGAAAATTCTCATGGGGACATTCGTTCTTGGAGCTGAACAGCGAATTATTGGAAAAGTACGCTCTTTGCACAACCAGCGAAGAAATAATTACGGCACAAGAAACGTACCTAAAGAAAGCCTGGCAGGAGAAATTAGATAGGCTTAGTAAAGATTTTTTCTAATCTCCTTTTTCTGTCCTTTATCAATGATTTTTGCTTTAATATGATTATATACTTCTTCTTAGCGCTTCCTGATTTTCCGGAAAACAATACAGAGTCTGAAGAAGAGGAAGAAGAGAAAGACACAGATACGGTCTTAAAAGTAACTGAGGACCTAGGCGATATAAAAGTATAAAGTATAGTCATTAAAGGTAGTTGACTTTTTAACTAAATTCTTGATTTTGAATTTCCAACCATTACATTACAAATATTAAAAATATATAATAAATTTCTAAGACTTATAAAAAGACTTATAAATAATTGTCAAATACAGAATGTAGAAAAAATGTGTATAGATTGGAAAAGATTTAGACTTAAAAAATTTGTAAAATCTGAGTAGTTCGTCATAGATCAAATCACATTTAATGGCAATTTGATCATCAATTCGGCGAGTTTGTTTGAGACGGTCTAGTATTGTCAGATCTGTTAAAAATTATATCTATGTTGCGATTTTCTCCATATTTTAACTATAATTTGGATATTTCTTTGTATTCTCTTTCAAAAAATTCCTCAAAAATTTTATATTTTTGTAATTCCAAAAAATCTCGATGAAAAGAAAAAATTCTAATTGTCAAAAGCGCCGTACACTCTCCGATATACAACTTATCCTGCTTCCTAACACAAACACTACAATCCTTCACTGATCCGAAAATCCGAATCACACATAACTAACTCAACGGACTTCATACAAAAGATCCAAAAAAAATTCGACTACGTCTCACAAATCTGCTTGCAAGTTTCGACGTAGAATCCCTTTTTACATAAATCCCAATAAAAGACACATTAAACATAATAAAGGACTCACATGAGTGACTCCTCTCCGACTTCATCCCGCTAATAGAGCACTATTTAACAACCACTTACTTCTCCTATAACAACTAATTTTATGAACAAACTTCAAGAACGGCAATATCTACATGATGATATCTACATGCCTAACCAATATCTACAGGCAATATCGCACCACCAGCTAGCACAAAAACAGTCTGCAATCAACTCACTTGTACATAGAGCTTTCACCATCTCTGATAAAGAACATCTACAGACAGAATTCAACCACTTAAAACTAGTCTTACAGAAAAACGGACACGACAAAAAAGATATAATCAAAACAATCGATAAAGACAACAAGACAACGGTCTCTGACACATAACCAGACGAAAGGATCCTATCTATTCTCCCATATGTCAAAGGAACAACAAATCGGATTGGCAGGATATTAAACAAACACCATATCCGAACTATCTTTAAACTATCCAAAAAGATAAGACAAATCTTAAGAAATCCTAAAGATCAAAGACCTCCATTCAGTTTCACAGGAGTATATAAAATACCTTGTTCCTGCAGGCAAGTATACATTGAAGAAACCAGGAGAATGGTCAACCTACAGATAAAAGAACACCAACGTGATGTTAGACTAAAATACGTCACGCAATCAGCATTATTAGGATGTAACATCGAAACAGGACATCAAATACTGTTTGACAAAACGACCACAATAGCAACATTACATCATACTTTCCAAGAAAGTATAGAGAAGCCATAGAGATACAAAAACCCTAAAATCTAAATAGAAATAATGGCTACAACATAAATAAAATATGGAAAATTCCCAGTTATTAAAAACTGATCAATTTCTTCCACCTCTCTCTTCCACAATTCTCTTCTTTCCCTTACTCTAACAAGTAGCGTAATATAAAAGGAATGGCCCGGAGGAACAGCTCAGTATCAGGCTGCTCTTCGTTCTGATAAAGTAGACTGCAAAGTTCACGAAACGTGGCATTCCAAGAATGTATCTGGATCAAAGGAAACCCGCGAAACGCATAATCTTTATATAAAAAAATTCCAAATTTAGAGGAAAATCTCCCAACTGAAACAATAAGTCTGTTCGCGTTGCATACATTTTTTGCACTTGGCATCTTCACTTTCTCTATTTTCAACGTCTAAATCCCTGTTTGGAGGGTCTCGCGATATTTCCTAATCAATAGACAGTTTATTCATAATAATACAATTAAAACAATTAAAATAATGGAATAAAAAGATTACTAACAATATTTTACGTCATTATACATAATTATTGTTAATTTTATGCTATTAAATATTTTCAAAATGACAAAATAAAACAACATAAATAGAGTTACATTGAATCAAAGCTCTTTTGAGATGAATCGATCAATGAATTAAGGCTCCTGACTACTCAGCCAAGAACTGAGTTGACGGTGGCGACACAGAATTAAGTAGTCTGGCGAAACGGTAGCCACACACTTAAGCACGAGCCCATGTCCGTGCTCGCCTGCAGCGCGCTGAGAGTGAACGAGACAGCGAGCTCCTTCTCCCACTAGTAGCTTGTTTCAAGCAACCAAAAATGCTTTCTCGGCCGCTCGGTCCTAAACATCAATAAGGAGCAGGGGGGGAGGCATCCTAAATAACATAAATTTTAATAAATTGTAGTAATAGTGTATCCCTCCCCTTAATCAAGAATAGTACAAATCATGTTAAAAAATTATGAGATATTTAAATGTTTACGATTTTTCATGCGCATTATACTCGTATAGTATATCTTTTCTTCATAAACTCGAGTAGCAAGAAGTTCAGTAGAAGTAGAATTTTACCGGAAAAAAATTATAACTAGCATTTCTCTTCACGAAAGTCTCGAAAGGCCATCAGGAAAGAAATGCGTATGTTCGAGATTCAAGATTTGTGAAGAAAGTATGCAAAAAAAATCGAATAGTTGCAAAAAACACGTTTTTCGCTTATAAAACGAAAGATATTGATTGTATGAAAAAAAATTCGGTATAAAAAATGTAGGTATTCGAAATATCTACGAAATAAGACATGAAATATTAAAATCGATCTATTAAATCAGTAGAAAAAAAAATAAAAAACCGAAAAAGACTTTTTTTCACTCGTTCTGTGTTCATTGAGATTTAAACGCAAAGCTTTGAAATTCTCGTAAAATGTAGCCCTCATAACGAACAAATGTAGCTCTGAAAATGTCCATTAATTTTTGCAAAAAGCCATTTGTTCAATAAAAACCCACAGAAAACTTAATTTCTTTATCTTTGAGCAGTCGCACAGCAATTTACAGGGATTTTGCTTCTTCAAGAGTTGCACTATTACCTACGCTTAATAAAATGATTTTTTTGCAGTTAAACTATCATAAAACGATTTTAAAAAGTGGGTATCTATTTCCATATAAAAAAATGAAAATAATTTTGTTAATATGCATCATATCAAATAGCCGTGTGAAGCATTCGAAATCTGACATTTTTCTACGAATTTAAAAAAAAAAAATTACCCTCTTATTATTAGGAGCCGAGATAACAATTTTTTTTTCAAAAAATCACTGTGGTTCTAGTTTTTAAGATTAACAGTTCCGTCTGACACTAATTTGTCTTCTGGCACCAAGAAAGAATTGAATTTGCTATTAAAAAAATCTCGAATTGTAACCATGAAATTTTAAATTTCGAAAATTTTTTTTTGAATTTTTATTTTTTCGGTTTTATTTTAAAAAATCACATTTGAGAATGGAATGCATGTCTGATTAACAAATTTAAGTCACATTAATTATCTTTCTTTATTTAATATGCTGTAAAAAGTGTCCAATTGAACTATTAAATATACGGAATTATCAGTACAAAATTATTTTTATGAATTTAATTGCAGATGCAAATATGACATATGTAAACAAATAATTAATAATTTGCTAAATGTTAGCGTAACTGTTAAAGATATAACACTAACTTTTACATATATAAAAGTAAATTAGTGTTACATGAAAAATTTTTTGTAACTATATTCAACAGTTATACTAACATTTGACAAATTATTTATTATTTATTTACATATGTCATATTTGCATCTGCAATTAAATTCATAAAAATAATTTTGTACTGATAATGCCATACATTTAATTGTCCAATTAAACTTTTTGCGGCATGTTAAATAAAGAAGAATATAGTTAATGTGATTTAAATTTGTTAATCAGACATGCACTCCATACTTAAACGTAATTTTTTAGTAATAAACTGAAAAAATAAAAATACAAGAAACAAAAAACTAAAAATTTCATGATAACAATTACTTTGCGAAACATTTGGTTAAGTTATTTGTTTATATCTCGTCGAGCTACTCCAGATTTAAAAAATCAGGTTCCACGTCAATTTATTGCTGAAAAAATATAAATTTAGCAAATTTTAACACACGAAATCAAATATGCGCGAATCGCCGAACGGATCAATCTTCTCTACTCGACTGCACGCCGGCTTCCCTTCAGGATTGTTTTGTTTAAAACTTTTTTTTTAAACAAATGTTTAAAACATGTTTTAAACATCAGATTAAATTAAACATGCTTTTTTTTAAAGAAATTAAAATAGATGTTTAAAACGTTTTTTTTTATGTGTTTTTAATACTGGTTAGTAGAAGAGAAGATAATACTCCAGTTACACGATAACTTGTTTACTTGGTTAATAATGAATATTTAAGTTTAAAACTTTACAATTACATTCATTAAAATGTTGTTTACAGAAGTTTACTTTACAGAAAAACTGCAAGAGACAATTGTTAATTTTCTTTTCATAGAGCTCTAAGAATTTTTTCAGAATTTTTTCAGAATTTTCTTATATTGATAAAAATGAAAAAATGAAAATAATACTAAAAAATTGATAAAAAATTCGTAAAGTTCTATGAGAAGAAAATAAACAATTTTTGTCTTTTGCTATTTTTCTGTAAAGTTGATAGTATTTTAGTAAAAATTATTGAAGGCCAATTTTCGTCAATTTTTAGCAATTAATATCTTGCTACTCGAGTTTATGAAGAAAAGATATACTATATAACGCACATGAAAAATCGTAAACAATTAACTATCTCGTAAACTGTTGCGTTTTAACATGATTTGTATTATTCTTGATTAAGATGAGGGGTACACTATTACAATTTATTAAAATTTATATGTTATTTAGGATGCCCCCCTCTGCCCCTTATTGATGCTTAGGGCCGCCGAGCGGCTGAGAAAGCATTTTCGATTGCTTGAAACAAGTGGGAGAAGGAATTCGCTGTCTCGTTCACTCTCAGCGCGCTGAAGGCGAGCACACGGACATGGGCTCGTACTTGTTTGTGTTACAACGCCACGGTAAATGACCGAACTTAGGCGTGGAAAAGTGACGTTTTGACGACGAAATTTATTATATGTTGCGTGCCATTTCGTTATTATTTGCCTAATTGTGAAAATGTGACTTGTCTCGTACTTATCAAAGTTGTAATTATCGATAGTTTTCCAAAAAAACTAAAATTATCTTGGATAATTTTATTTTATATCTAAAAATGTATATTTTACTCGTTTCAACAGCTGTCAGACCATGTATTTCTGCCCGAATATAGGCTCATTTTACGTACCTTTTACGACCATTTACTAACTGTCAAGGGAGGAAAGGATAGTTTTTATCGATTTTTACAAGCATTTTAAAGTGATCTCGTCACTTTGTTTCATCCAAATTATCTTTATTACACTAAAAACACGCAACATAAATTTACATGTCATTCCTCGCTTCTGACGTCACAATTCCAACATGGCCGCCGCGACTAATCAGGAGCTTTAATGCCTTTGTGAGCCATGCACTGGATCACTGATGTGAAGTATTGTTTTGTTGTTGTGTCTTTATTTAATCTCAAACAAATTCATACGTTTCGATCCTTGTTCGGATCCTTTTCAATGTTAGGATTTACATTAGCGAAATCATTGTGTTTCCTGATACTTACTTTAAACTGTACAATAATGAAATGAGTTAAAGTTACAATTGATTACACGTATATATTATTAAGAACGCAGAATATTACCTTAATAATTAACTTAATATAAATACATAAATATATTTTGAACTTACATGAGTTTCATTAAAAGAAAAAAAACTGACATGTTAACCAACTGAAAGTTACAACTCATCTGACTAAGAAGCAATATGTACTGGTATAATAACTAAGCATAGAAAACATTGAAAAGAGGAAGCTTAATTGTTGATCAATAAATAGTCATTAGCGCTGTTTAACAGTTCAATGTCCGTCTGTAAATTTAGACTGTTCTTTTGTTTGCGAATGAAAATTATTTCGGAAATAAATCTTTTATTCAGAATTCTTTCTTCGTCTAAAGTCTTTATGTTGTTCCAATCGAATCCGTGTTCATGTTCCAAACGATGGTCAGGAATTACAGAACGTTGCGGTGTTCTCCAATTAATGTGGTTTTTGTGTTCACTCATCCTCGTTTTCAAGGCTTTGCTTATCTGACCCATATATGACGCATCACAGTCCCCACAACTTATCTTGTACACAACATTAGTACGAAGCATAGATGGTTTGTCTTTGTGAACTCTAATAAACACCTGCTTAATCTATCAATATCCTTGTATGCCACAATTATTATGCATTACATTATTATGCATTACGTTAAAATTCAGGATTGGTAAATAACGCATTATTTATAACGTCGTTACCGTTACAAGTTATTTT